AGCCTTATGCGACAGTCAATCGCGGTATGCGGTACATCTTAACGGTAATTGATGTGTATTCCAAGTTCCGAACCCCTCAAAAAGAAGACCGGTGATGAAGTTGTGAAAGACTTTGAGCTCATCTTAACATCCAGCGGCGGTCGGCAACCGACCCTCTTACAAACGGATGATGGTACACAATTTTACAATAGCACTTCCAAGCAATGGTTGCCTGCACAATCTATTCACCATTATTCCACTTGTTCCAACTTGTCATCGAGCGTTTCAATCGGACACTGAAAGAGGGCATGTGGCGGCGCTTCTCCGCCGAAGGTACCCGCCGATGGACCCTCATGCCCCTGGTCCTGCTTCACGATTACAATAACTCGGCATAGAACAACGGTTATGAAACAGAAAGACGTATAGGACAACAAGTTACTGCGCACTGTCTACGCCAAAGACGGTTGACATGCACCAATTGATGCGTCGCTTCCGTTGGTGACATTGTTTCTTGTGAACACGCACAAGCGCTCACCATTTCGGAAAGGTTATGAAGCGCGCTGGGGCACTGTACTCTTCAAAATTGTGCGCGTGCATCTTTCCAATCTCGTCACATTCACTCGAAGACCTCATACAAGGTGAAGCAATCAAGGGGCGATTCTACGCAGAAGAATTGCAACGTACACGCTACCCTAACCATTATTTAGTGGAGCGTGTTATACGCAAAAAGGGCCCACAATGTCTCGTGAAATGGCTGGGTTTCGACACTCGCCACAACTCTTGGGTGAATGCCCGAGATATTGAGATTTGAGAGAGAGAGATAGAGAATGTGTCACAATCATGTTGACTCGAATAGACCGCAGCTGCTACACGTGACAATGGAACCCCCCCAACAACGCCGCGCAGCTGCGGTCGATTTTTTTTGTCTTATCATGTTGCTTCAACACTCACATTCTTTTGTAAAAAGGTTTTCACTTACAAAAAAATAACCCCCTCTCCCCCCACCCCTTAGCAACAACGTGAATAGCTAATTTTATTATCATAAGCCTTTCTTTCTTTCTCCCCTGCTATAAAAGAGGAGTGGAATCGTTGGAAGTTGTCAGAGAGGCCTAAGCACATCATTGCGGCTGATAACTGCGTCTTTTATACATGTCTGTTGCTGATTTCGTACAAACCGCAGTATGTTGCGCTACTTGGATACTGCTTTTACTTGGTTTAAATTTACTACTCTTGTGAGGAGATTCTTCGCTACCGAAGAAGCGAAAGAAGAAGAAGCAGAAAATAACGAGTTGTTACCATCCCAACCCTCATCAGTTCCATGGTATTTAGACGAAGAATAGCCTTTATCACAGCCACCGCCATCCCTGCCGCCGCCGCCTCTGTCCACACTACCTAGACGAAATGTGTACACAATACGCCGGCGATGTCATCCGTTTGGAGGGGCAGACGGTTGTTCACATTCCACAACTGTCATTGCTGACCTTCAGGGATATTACAGAAACGGACAATTTATCATAAAATTGTTGACGGTACTGCGAATCCCGCGCAATCCGGAAGACGATCAGTGTCTACATACTTATACTTTCAAACCTCCTTGTCACGTGTATGAACTCTGTGAGCAGGATCAAAGAACAAAGGCATGGATTGAATACTATCACCCCGCCACCCCACAGTGGACGAGTGGCACTTATCCATACTGACGTGACGTGACGTGATTCGCCAGGCTTTTGAGAGTGTCTCGAAAATTTACGTTAAAGGAAATCAAAAGCGTAAGTGGTTGTGGGAGTATGTAGACTGTAGCGTGGAGGACTTGGAGGTGTACGGCTGTCCACCACCCAAAAAATGTGTGGACGCGCACCGCAAGCTCTACATGCTCTTTACAAATACCCTTCACATCAAAGTTGAAGCTATCGGCATTCAACACGTCTTGGGGCTCTTCCACTGAATGGTGACACATCACTACAATGTGCTTTGGTAGCCATGATTTCATATCTATTCTCTTTCAATCATCCACAAGCTGTCTGACCTCCCACTAACATCCCTGGTGATTAGATAGAACGCGCGAGTTATATACACGACATCTGCGTGTTTGCACTCAACGCACGCGTGATGGGAGACCACCACCACCTTCCTACAACCGCAGACAATATTGAGCGGGCTCTGCAACGCCTTCGTGACCGGTGTGGCTCTCTCAGTCACCATGATGACAAAAGTTTGGCTCATCTTCCCGTCACGTTCCTGACACATTGGGCGGCGAGAGAGGTGCCTCACGTCTACATTCGCGTGCCTCACGTCTACATTGATAAGTTATGTAAATCGGACCGCATGTCGTCGAGTCTTTTTATCTGCTCCTTGAAAGTATAGTTTGTGAATTCCCGCGCGTTTGTAAATTGATTATCCACATACAGCTTCGTCGCAGCATCTTGGTGGTCGACCGGATCGCCCAGGTTGATCACGCGTCGACCTTCCAGGTCGCGTGGTTTCGTGGGATCCTCGCACCCCTTCCACGGACGTTGACTCGTCAAACACCTCGTCATCTTCTGAGTCGAAGTACACGTCGGTCACTTCAGACATTTTTTGGTTGTTTCTGAATTGGCTGTGCGCGTGAATGAAATGATTACCGTCCAACAACTCCCTTTTAAATTCTCTCTAAGAGGTTTTTTGTGACTAGCGCGCTCTGTCTGTCACGTTCGCACCCTACCTCAATGTCATTCATTAGAACCCTCCAGAGAGTTTGGGGTCTTTCGCTTAACATTGCGGAGAGAACTGGGACTGCTCTGATGTCAATGACCTCTCTGAGAATTCTTCCGCGAATGTCGATGGTCACCCTGTACTCTCCGGAGAATTCATTAGAACCCTCCTGAGAGTTCTGGGACACTCCCTTCCCTTACCTTCAATTAACATTGCGGAGAGAACTGGGACCGCCCTCTGGGGACTTTCCCTTTCTTACGTCATTTAACATTGCTTAGAGTTCTGGGACTTTCCCCTTCTTACGTCATATTTATTTATCATTGCTGCTTAGAGAGTTTTGGGACCGCTCTAACACCATTAAAATGCTAATTATGGGGGTCCCAGTTCTCTCAGAACTCCCCTACTATCCACCACTTATAAATAGAAGCAGTCATAGTGCTTCGGGAGAATCAGTCCGGGCGTGTCATCTCAGGAAGTAAACACGCGCAAAAGAAAAATAGAAGCGGTCAGCGCCTTCTGCTAGGCTCTGGGTGTGTCTCGGTGGAAGTGCTTCGGCGAGTGCAGTACGGAGACCAACGCCGCCCAACAAAAAGTGGCTTCGGGCCCTAAGCTGGAGTCCCTTCGAGAAAGCATAATAGCGGAAGCATCTCCCAGAGCGCGGCCTGGTTCTACTCTCACACGGCGAGGGTCTACTTCGCCCCGCGCTCCAGCCGTCAACGCACCCAACACCCACCACCTTCGCCCACACCCCTCCACAAGAGACACCTCTAGCGCCGCCAGTGCAGTGCCCGGCGCATCACTAGGCACTACCAAAATTAACGAAATATGAATAACAAAGCTTCACCCTGTTTGTATTGAGACTAGTGCACAGTACCGATGATACATGGGTATTTTCTCAGACATCAGAATCAAAGGAAATAATTCAGGCAACTGTAGCTCTTTGTTGAATGTGGCTTCTCCCGCACGATCTCACCGGAAGCCTAGTGCCAAAAAGTTTATCATTGTACCTTGTGTTTATAAAAATTATTTACGTTTAGATTAATGCAGAGTCCATTGTTTTTAGTTATGTTATTTTACTATCATCATTAGTAATGTTTGTCATTTGTGTTTTAAGATTTAAGCATTCATTGAAACCAATCAAGCCATTTTTGAAATAGATCTTAGATATAAATATTTTTTGGCCAATATTTGCACGGGGAACTGCATATCCGTGCCTTAAACGATGTTTTAGAATACTGAAGTTCTCAACTGGTTGGGTCATTCGAAGAAAATGCTCAGGAGCTAAAATTTTGAAGACATTTTCTCTATAGGTCATATAGGTCAGAAATATAGGTCAGAACATAAAGGATTATTTCTTCTTTAATTTCAGATTTCAGAAAGTCATAACAATTCAATCATTTTTCTAAATATTACACATTTTTACTTTTTTGAATAATTGCAAAACACCCATTCTTATTAAAAAATATTAATCGCTTTTTCAAAACTGTGGCCTTTCCCGTTCCCAACTACTGCACCGGCATTGCATGTTTATATCACCAAATGTTTTATTGTTAAGCTTCAGACGTTTGTTGTTGCTTGTGTGCACCTGAATTTTTCTGATACAAATGTATTTTTTTGTTGATAGGTGATGGGTGTTTTTCATCAGAGAAAACCAACACAATGCAGACACAACAGAGCCATAGTTCAGACTTGGATTGCATCCCTAAGAGTAGCAACAGCAACTATGACCAGACCACGCAGGGCAAGGACGAGCTCCCAAACAGCAGTATCCAAAGGGGAAAACGATTTAAGCGTCCCATTTGCGATAAGATGATCAGTAGAAATGGGAAGTTACATAGGCATATGCTCACCCACACTGCTAAGAAACCTTTCCAGTGTTCTATCTGTGAGAAGACATTAACTCAGAAAGGACACTTAGCTCGTCATATGCGCACCCACACCGGTGAGAAACCTTTCCAGTGTTCCGTCTGTGAGAAGACCTTCACTCAGAAAGGACACTTGGATAAGCACATGCGCACCCACACTGGTGAGAAACCTTTCCATTGTTCCATCTGTGAGAAGACATTCGCTCACAAAGGAACCTTGGATATCCACATGCGAACCCACTCTGCTGAGAAAACTTTCCAGTGTTCCATATGTGAGAAGACCTTCACTGAAAAAGGATACTTGGCTCGTCACATGCGCACCCACTCTGGGAAGAGACCTTTCCAGTGTTTAATCTGTGAAACGACCTTCACTCAGAAAGGACACTTGGCTTGCCACATGCGATCCCACACCGGTGAGAAACCTTTCCAGTGTTCCATCTGTGAGAAGACATTCGCTCGCAAAGAATCCTTGGATGAGCACATGCGAACCCACACTGGTGAGAAACCTTTCCAGTGTTCCATCTGTGAGAAGACCTTCACTGCAAAAGGATTCTTGTATAGGCACACGCGCACCCACACTGGTGAGAAACCTTTCCAGTGTTCCATATGTGAGAAGGCCTTCACTGAAAAAGGACACCTGTCTCGTCACATGCGCACCCACACTGGGGAGAAACCTTTCCAGTGTTTAATCTGTGGGAAGCCCTTCACTGAAAAAGGAACCTTGGAAAACCACATGCGCACCCACACTGGTGAGAAACCCTTCCAGTGTTCCATCTGTGAGAAAACCTTCACTGAGAAAGGAACGTTGGGTAAGCATATGCGCACTCACACTGGTGAGAAACCTTTCCAGTGTTCCATCTGTGAGAAGACTTTCACTCTAAAAAGAACCCTTTCTATGCACATGCGCACCCACAATGGTGAGAAACCTTTCCAGTGTCCCATCTGTGAGAAGACCTTCACTGAAAAAGGATACTTGGCTCGTCACATGCGCACTCACACTGGTAAGAAACCATTCTAATTTTCTATCTAAGATATCTCATTACAAGGGCCATTTAGATATTATACTCCATTACATCTACCTCAGGTGAAGCATAAAACATTTTAATATTGGTGATTTTAATATAGTTATTCTGAGGAATACTGATCTTGTCCATTGTTATATTACCAATGTACACGAATTTGGTTATATTTCGCTTATTAAAATACCGAAAAGAGTATGAGGGGACATACGTTCTTGTACTGTCATCTTCGGCAAAGTTGATATAGTCATATTTTCCACGTTTTATTAATAATTTAGATTTGACTTCCCTTTTGCCACAATTGTGTATCTAAATAGTACTTTAAGAACACCTCATATAATGGAAAACCATATAAAAATAAAAAAATAAATATACCTCCGAAAATTTGAAAATTTTTGACAGGAACTTGACAGTTTGTTAAATGAAGGAGGTACATCATATTAACAAACTTTATTCACTCCACATGAACTTTACAATTAGCTTCGAGATCAATGTCCCACTCCCACCATGGAGAATACTTGAAGCGCGAATGCGCCCTCATTGCGCGTCCGTACAATGCCAGCACGGATCGCGACCGCAGGGTTGGGTCTTCCGTGCAACGAGCGTCCTGCTCGTTCTCCGTGGAGTCTCCTCTCTCGGCGTAGGCTACCGTGCGCCCTCCGGCACGGCTTGCCGTCTCGTCGCGGTCCACACCGCGCGCTGACCCTCCGACTGTCGCATAGGCTGCCGCATAGGCCGTGTTGACACTCGTGCACTCCTTGACCGAGTCCATGACCGGACTCGTACGGCGTAGACAACCGTGCACCAGCTGCTCTCTGAGCCTCCAACTGGACTGGCGGGCTTGTTTTTTTGGGCGTAGCCGAAGGTCAGTGTGGTGTTCGATCGCATCATGATCGTATTGATCAGAGGATACTTGATCGTATCGATCGTATATACAGTGCACACGCCTTTTGCGTTATACTGCTAGTGTAAGTAGTTTGTGTAGGTTTCGCTCTACGCTCTTAGTATGTCTGAAGAGAGAGCTCGTACGGAAATGTCTCTGAAAGTTTTCTAGCGTAGCTAAAGCTTCGTCTGATTGAAAACCTTGGTAAACTTCATTGAATGATAGCCGTCTCAAGTATTGAGTGAAGGACTCGTTATCAAGTTCCTTCCTCAGTACTTTCAGGCGTTTCCGAAACGGAGGGTGAGATATGAGTCTCAGAACTCTATTCTGAATTAACTCAAGTGTGTCCATCTATTTCTGTGCTGTGGTCCACCACGTCGCTGCGGCATAGGTGACCACAGGCCGGCAGCACGTTTTATAGAGTGCCAGGCGAAGATCCAAGGGGAGTGTAGGTTCCTTTAGGAGAGGTTTTAGAAGACGGGACTTAGGTAAAATTTCGATCGGATTCGCGTGACATCTAAGTGCCGGTGCATGCTCCGGTCGAAAGTGACACCAGGTAGATTGTCTTGGGCGTTGTGAACCGCTTTGTGTGTTTGTGTTTTGCGGCTAGAGAACCAGATTGCGTGATACTTTTCCGCTGAGAAAGTCGTGGTTTTCTTGTGGTCACTTCAGAGTCAGGTTCATCTGTTTTTGTAGTGTTTTTAGTTTATGATCTAGGTTTATTCCTCTTGCTAGGACTGCTATGTCGTCAGAATACAGGAAAATCCTAATTCGTGGTATCTGTGGTATGGCATTGACATATAGCGAGGACAGTAGTGGGGAGAGCACGGAGCCTTGCGGGACTCCAGCAAATATCCCGCGCTTTGAGGATATCGCTTTTCCCACTTTGATCACGAAGGTGCGGTTTGTGAGAAAAGATTTAATCATATCCGTTACATTTGTTGGAATTCTTCGTCTTAGTTTGGAGAGTAGTGTTTTGTGTGGCACTTTGTCGAAGGCTTGTACCATGTCGATGTATACAAGTACATCCTGTGAGAGTATGAGGTCAGCGGATATCTGGTAGGCCATACATAGTGCCTGCAGTGAGGCTGAATGTCCCGGTGGGAAGACAAATTTTTCATCTCGTATGTTTTTTGAGATAGCTGGTTGGATTCGCGCGAGGATTAGCCTTTCGAAAACTTTCCCCATGATTGGGAGCAGGTTGATAGGCCTGTGGCTCGTCGCGAGATTGAGGTCTTTACCAGGCTTCGGGAGCATTGAAATACTCGCGTTTTTTCAGCATTCCGGGAAATACCGTAGTGTGATACAGCTGTTGTAAAGGTGTTAGATAAGAACTGATGATCGGAAACGCCTCTTTCAAGATTTGGGGACCGATCTGGTCGGGGCCCGGTGCCTTGCGACTGCTCATGCTTGTGATAGTTTGTGAGATTTTGTGGATAGTGCAGTGTATGAGTATGGTGTCGATGGTTTCCTTTGCATTTTCCTCGTCGTGGTCTGCGAGGTGTTGTTTGTGCACCTTTTTTCAAACATATCCTCGAAGAATTCCGCCTTAGCTTGGTCGGAAAAAAGGTTTGTTGGTTTTCCTTCCACGTTGTCAGGTCCTCGAATGCCTGTGTTTGTGTTCGGTACGGACCTTAGAGCCTTTTGAAGTTTGAAAAGGTCTTCTCGTGAGTGATCGCTTCCGATCTCGTGCGCTTTTCCCAATCGGCTGCGTGATGGTTTGAGAGTGCGTTGTGAGTGCGGGGCTTGTGCACTGTTGCCAGAGCCGTCTAGCCTTGCGTTTTTCGCGCAAAAGGTTTTCTACCTCGGGTTGAAAATACAGGCGTTGCATTCCTGTGAGCCGACTGTAGATGTTTTGTGAGCGTTTGTATCCGTGCATCAATAGATTCTTTAGTCAATGATTTGCAGAGAAATTGTGTGTGATGTAGCGAGTAGTGAGCGTAACTCGTTCCAATTTTTGGGTTGCGGGACCCATTGCTTGGGACAGCTGAAGGAACGTATGCTGCCTACAGCGAAGGTGAGAGGAATGTGGTCAGATAAGGAAAAGGAGATTGGTTTTGGCATTGTTACCCGGATGATTCCGGCCGTGAGTGCCTCGTCGAGGATTTCGGGTTTTTCCCCTGGGATAATTCGAAAACCGGTAGGGGTAAAAGGTGGGACGAGATTCACTGAGTGATGTGATAACAGGAAGCATACTAGTAAGGTTCCGTTCTTATTTGTGGTGTTGCATCCCCATTCTTCGCACTTGGCGTTCACGTCGCCCGCCAGGACCGTGCGAGTTGCTAGGGAGAGCACTGCATCAAAATATTCCTCTATTAGAGGTCTGTTATGTGCGAGGTATACAGATACTAGAGCTACGTCGCCTTCCGTCGACCTCGCCACGATTGCTACAGCTTGGAGGTGGTGGGGTATTGAGCGGCGTTCGGCAATCGATGACTACCGTCGCGGTCGGTACAGTCAATTGCCATGACGCGCAGCTCCATATGATCTGAGCTATTGAGTTTAGATTCCTAAAGCACCAGAATGTCAATGCGATGTTTGTTACAGAAAAGCTCTATAAACGTTTCACGCTAGTCAGTCTGACCGGAGTATCCGTTAATGTTCCAAGCGGCCAGAGCTAGGAAGGAGCTAGAGGATGGTGTTTGCGTTTCTCTGATTTAGTTGTTCAGCCATTTTGGTTGGAGTGTGGTGTGTTGGGCGACTTGTTGCTTCAATTCAGCGACCTTCTTTTGAAGTTCCGCTTCACAAGAAGCAGCGGGCGTTACTGATGTCTGAGTGGCTTGGGGCGGGCTAGGCGCACGGTTCACCCTCTCCGTAATTCCCTTTCGAGCTGCAGAGATTGGTTCTTCCCGTTCCGCTCGCCTTGCCTGTGCAGGGTGGTTTACCTTAGCCACTGCTAAGAATGTGACGATTTTGTCAACTTTGCTTGCAAGTGGCGTCGACAGTAGATGAAAACGGCAGATTCTGGAACACCAAGATGGCGGCCATGAGGTCACACATCCTGTGTTCCAGAATAGGCCGTCTGTTATCTACCGGCTGTGGTCACCGGATGTAAACAAAAACATCCGCTGTCAATAAAAACATCTGGTGTGTTCATTTGAGGTCAACATCCGGCGTCCACATCCGTCGACAACATCCGGTGACAACAGCCGGTGCGTCCGCAAGGCCGCGGAAGTGCGCCGCCAGCTGCGGGGAAGCCGTGACGTCACGGCCCACAGCCTGCCTACCTGTGTACCAACCTCTGCAAACGAAAACTAAGGGGAGCAAAAAACGGGAGCGGGGAGGGGAGTTTTCCCTGCACGGTGCTGACAAAGGGGGAAATGACAAGACGAACAACAGAGTAGGCTAGAACAAGCA